TGTGTGTGTGTGTGTGAGGGCGTTTCAGGTGTATGCGAGTGCGTTTCAGGTGTGTGTGTGAGTACGTTTCACGTGTGTGAGTGCGTTTCATATGTGAATAACTTTGGATGTCATGTGTGTGAGAGCGTTTCATATGTGTATATGAGAGATTTTTACATATGTTTGTAAATTATTTTGGTTTCAGTTGTGTGTGTGAGAGTGTTTCACATGTGTAAGTGAACGGTATTTCTGAATATTGTCCCTAGCGGCCCCTCATATATAAGTGCCCTAATCACTTATGAACTTTTTCCAGTCGGCCATAGCCTTTTTGTATGAAGTAGTCATGTCACAGTCGTGAATGGCGTCCAAGAGGACTTCTGTCTGCACCACAGACAGGAGTGTTGCAATGCACTTAGGATAGGTGAGGTGAAAGGTGTAATAACATGCCATGAGATACATCACGCTTTCATGAATGTCCTCTTTTGGGAAGATGAGCACGGGCATGGTTCCAATGGCCAGTATACAGTTGGTTTCGCAGATGATGACAACAGGGCTGGAAAGTGGTCGTGTCTGAAGAAAGGTGTTTGGGTCTTCTGCAGACTGACACAAAAACAGACAAAGAAATCGTCACAAAAAGGGAAACAAATATGATCACAACATTTCACTCTTTGTATCGACATGAGAAAATTCTTATACATTTTCTTACCTCAAGGACGTGGAGCAGAGCCTCACTTGCGTGCCTTAACTTCTTGGGTGGGGCCATAGGTGATGGGAACATCTCTGGTAAAGCCTTCATCATGGCAATTGAGTGCTTTACTGTTGAAAAAAAAAGTGTCATTCCGTTTCCTGCAGTCAGTTAATAAACAGACATGGTCAGAGATAATAATCACCTTTGTCAAGCTGCGGAGGCCTCATGAGCTTTTTGAAAACTCCATAAAACTGTGCCCTCTCACAAAAGGTCCCCCACCGGGTCTTAAGTTCCGTTAAGAAGTGGGAGTTGCCTTGATTGAGGACCCGCCGTAGTTCATCCATTAGCTAAAACAACGAGAGAGAAAATATGTAGAAGAAATATTAAAATCTACATTCCAAGGGTTAGTAATTCGTCTGATAACTGAATTTCCAAAAAAAGATTAATATGTGTATAATGTGATTTAAATGGTCACTTAACAAAAATATGCACATAGAAACATGTGTTTTTCTGCAAATGTATGTCTTATGCACACACTATTTTTAAATACGTATTGTGGACCAATAATACTAACAAAATAATGTTGTGTGTATCAGAAGCACATTTGTGAAATTAGTTATTTTTAAATAAGTGGAGGGTTTTTATATATCTATGCAGAATACATATTTGTATTCAATAAGCATATTTGAGTCATTCATTTATAAATAATGAGACAGATCTGATTTAATTGTCACACCATTTCTCATTTCAAATTTGGTCTAACGTTATCTGAATTAGGAAGCATAGTTGTACAACATCATCGGACCTGAGGCCGTATGTTTTGGACACTCGGGTAAAGAGAGGGGCGGAGTTGTCAACTGATCACCATCTGGTGGTGAGTTGGGTCGAGTGGCGGGGGAAGCCTCTGGATAGACCTGGTAAGCCCAAACGTGTAGTTCGGGTGAACTGTGAACGTCTGGAGGAGGCCCAAGTTCAGGAGGCCTTCAACTCACACCTCCGGCGGAGCTTTTCGGACATTCCTGTGGAGGTTGGGGACATTGAACCAGAGTGGTCGGTGTTCAAAGCCTCTATTGCCGAAGCTGCGGCGGGGAGCTGTGGTCTCAAGGTCCTAGGTGCCTCAAGGGGCGGTAACCCTCGAACCTCCTGGTGGACACCGGTGGTCAGGGAAGCCGTCCGACTGAAGAAGGAGGCCTTCAGGGATTTGTTATCCCGGGGGACTCCCGAGGCAGTTGCAAGGTACCGACAGGCCCGAAGGGCAGCAGCCTCATCCGTGGCCGAGGCAAAGCAGCGGGTGTGGGAGAAGTTCGGAGAAGACATGGAGAAGGACTTTCGGGCGGCACCAAAGTTGTTCTGGAAAACTGTCCGACACCTCAGGAGGGGGAAGCAGGGAACCATCCAAGCTGTGTACAGTAAGGATGGGACGTTGTTGACCTCAACTGATGGAGTGTTAGGGCGTTGGAAGGAACACTTTGAGGAACTCCTGAACCCGACAACTCCGCCCTCTATGTTAGAGGCAGAGCTGGAGTATGACGGGGGATCAACACCAATCTCCCGGGGGGAGGTCACTGAGGTCGTCAAACAACTCCACAGTGGCAAAGCCCCGGGGGTGGATGAGATCCGCCCGGAAATGCTGAAGGCTCTGGGTGTTGAGGGACTGTCATGGTTGACACGTCTCATCAACGTTGCGTGGAAGTCGGAAACAGTGCCGAAGGAGTGGCAGACCGGGGTGGTGGTCCCCCTTTTTAAAAAGGGGGATCAGAGGGTGTGTGCCAATTACAGAGGCATCACACTACTCAGCCTCCCCGGGAAAGTTTACTCTAAGGTACTCGAAAGGAGGGTCAGGCCGATTGTCGAACCTCAGATTGAGGAGGAACAATGCGGATTCCGTCCTGGTCGTGGAACGACGGATCAGCTTTTTACTCTCGCAAGGATCCTGGAGGGGGCCTGGGAGTACGCTTATCCGGTCTACATGTGTTTTGTGGACTTGGAGAAGGCGTATGACCGAGTTCCCAGGGAGTTACTGTGGGAGGTGCTGCGGGAGTATGGGGTGAGGGGGTCTCTACTCAGGGCCATCCAATCTCTGTACTCCCAAAGCGAGAGCTGTGTCCGGGTCCTCGGCAGTAAGTCGGACCCATTTCCGGTGAGGGTTGGCCTCCGTCAGGGCTGCGCTTTGTCACCAATCCTGTTTGTAATATACATGGATCGGATTTCGAGGCGTAGTCATGGGGGAGGGGGTCTGCAGTTCGGTGGACTAAGGATTGCACCACTGCTTTTTGCAGATGATGTGGTTCTAATGGCTTCATCGGTCTGCGACCTTCAGCACTCACTGGATCGGTTCGCAACCGAGTGTGAAGCGGCTGGGATGAGGATCAGCACCTCCAAATCTGAGGCCATGGTTCTCAGCAGGAAACCGATGGACTGTCCACTTCAAGTAGGGAATGAGTCCTTACCCCAAGTGAAGGAGTTCAAGTATCTCGGGGTCTTGTTCTCGAGTGAGGGAACAATGGAGCGTGAGATGGGCCGGAGAATCGGAGCAGCGGGAGCGGTACTGCAGTCGCTTTACCGCACCGTTGTGACGAAAAGGGAGCTGAGCCAGAAGGCAAAGCTCTCTGTCTACCGGGCCATTTTCGTTCCTACCCTCACCTATGGTCATGAAGGATGGGTCATGACCGAAAGAACGAGATCGCGGATACAAGCGGCCGAGATGGGTTTTCTCCGCAGGGTGGCTGGTGTCTCCCTTAGGGATAAGGTGAGAAGTTCGGTCATCAGGGAGGGACTCGGAGTTGAGCCGCTCCTCCTTCGCGTCGAAAGGAGCCAGTTGAGGTGGTTCGGGCACCTAGTTAGGATGCCACCTGGGCGCCTCCCTAGGGAGGTGTTCCAGGCACGTCCAGCTGGGAAGAGACCAAGGGGTAGACCTAGGACCAGGTGGAGGGATTATATCTCTTCGCTGGCCTGGGAGCGCCTTGGGATCCCCCAGTCAGAGCTGGTTGATGTCGCCAGGGAAAAGAAAGTTTGGGGCTCTCTGCTGGAACTGCTACCCCCGCGACCCGACCACGGATAAGCGGAAGAAGATGGATGGATGGATGGAGTTGTACAACATTTGCTTACATGATCCAGTTCTCCAAAGCAAGGATAAGCTTTAAGAATCTTGGAAGGCCTGTCCTGCTCCTTTGTAACATCAGAGTCAATGAAGGCCCTTCTCGCTTGGATTTCGAGGTCCAGGAGCTGAGCAACATCCATCTTGTTCGGTCTGGCCTTAGTTTTATACATCGCCTGTAGAGTCTTATAGTGTCTCGCCTGGGTCTGTGGGCTCTCAGTTTCTGATGCTAGAAAACATAAACCCCACTATTTTCATTTCTGATGTTAAAGTTGAAATGAGACATTAACACACAAACAGCCATAGTGACTGACACAGGGCAAACATAGATGAGTAATCTTGAATAAAAAAGGGTTCTAAAATAACTTATTGATATTATAAAATTTTCTTGAAGAGATTTAACTATCTACTATTTCAATTGATGTACTTACCACATAACTGTTCAGCCTCCGGGGTGCTGCATCGAGATGGTGGTGATCTCTCCAAGATCAAGGTTGATGCGGTGGATTCATCAGTCTCATCAGTGGACGTCTCATGGCTGCTCTGAAAGCTTAAACTCCTAGGCCTCTTTCTTGAAGGAGTTGAACCCTGCTTCTTTTTGGGGGTTGTCACATTCTGGACCCTTTTCAAAAGCTGCTTTTTCACAGTTTCCTTACAAGACAGACATACAACAGGTTCTGTTATAACTCACATAAAACAAACTTGTATCAAACTAAATACACCATACAAGCAGTTGCACAGAGCTCTTATTGAACTGGATAAAACACATCACTCCCAGTTTGATAGGCAAATGATTGCAGTGCTTTGTCTGAACCATGAGTTGAAAACTTGAATAGTGACATACCCACTCAGCTCTACTGGTTTGAGATCTGTCCCGAAGCATTGGGTAGTACTCAATCAGACGCTTCGCCATTACAGTGAGTTCACGGCTGCATGGATAGTTAAAGTCATCCCCAGCTGCTCTTTTAATGGAAAGCATGCTTGTGACTGTATTCCTGATTAATCGACAGCGAAGATCTTTGGAAAGGACGTAGTCTCCTTCTTCTCCAGCACGCTGCTTTTCAGAAAAGGTGCTTCGTGATTGCTCCAATTCTGTGTCTGTGTATAAAACATACAGTGGACTGGGAAGCTGTACGGTTCTGCTGGCACCATGTTGGGGTTGTGGGCTTTGAGAGGAGAAGGAGGGTGGAGAAAAGACGGGGGATGGAGAGGGGTTGGGGCAGGAGGAGGAAGAGGAGGGAAACAAGGAAGGTTGGGGGGTAGGAATAGGGCTGAAATCACAAGTCCCATGGGAGGTACTCGGTCTACACAGGTCTGTCTCCTGGCCCTGTATAAAAGATGCATATATATATATAAAATGGTATTTACAATGAAAAGAGCACTACGCTGTGACAACAACAAAAATCAACACAACCAAAAAACTCCACTTCAAATAACTGCATGATGACTAGGAAAGGCTTACTTGGTAACAGGTTTAAAGTCCCTCAAATGTTAGAATCTGGAATTACCTCATTTTCATCATGATTGAGTCTCCAAATGGTTCTTCTTCTTCTGAAGTGCTCAGGCCCGGGAAGGAGATCACGCAAGTCCTCCTTAGAGAGGCTGGGCAGCATGTCTCTGCTTATATTAGCAGCTGAAAACACATTTAACCACACAGTTAATAATAAGGTAAAAAGCAACTAATAACATATTTATCTAAATACATAAAATGAAAGAGTAATGTACATTTCTGGCTGGCTTCACAAGATTTTCTTTAACATTAAAAAATGTATTGCACTTACTTATAATTGATTGAAAAAATTGCTGTTACAATAGGTTCATCCAGAGTTAAAGTTATTTTGGCCAAATGAAAATGCACCAGGGAAATGAATAAACGAGGCATGTTGTTAGGATAAATCCATAACACAAATGTGTAAAATCTCATAGGCTATAAAAGTTATACATTTTCAGCATCTTTTATAGTACAATAAAACAAATCTTGATGTTTAAGAGCAAACACAGTTAAACTTATTTTCAAAACAGTGTCTTTACCTTGAAATCTTTATTCAAATAAGCATAATTTACGTCCCAAGCCTGCTTATATCCAAAGGACAGTGTAGTTTCAATAGCCTGCACTGCACTATCATACAACAACGCATTTGTAAATGCTGTCTACAACAAAGAAGGGCGCCAAAGATGGCTATGCTAGTGTACAACAAAGAAGGGCGCCAAATATGGCTATGCTAGTGTACAACAAAGAAGGGCGCTAAAGATGGCTATGCTAGTGTACAACAAAGAAGGGCGCCAAAGATGGCTATGCTAGTGTACAACAAAGAAGGGCGCCAAAGATGGCTATGCTAGTGTACAACAAAGAAGGGCGCCAAAGATGGCTATGCTAAATACTTTACTGTCAGTTGTGGAAGGCTGATTTGCTTCTTGACATTATTTCTGGCAATAAAACAGTATCAACTAAAATGTTAACCACGATTTGTCGATTGTGCCGTTATTAACAGCTTACAGTAGATATTAGCTAAGTTAACTAGATATGTAGCCAGCCTAGCTAAGTCCAACCGATTCAAATAATGTAAAGCTTGCTGGAGAGGTGCAGTATAAAATACAAAATTACATTACCTTTTAATGCTGCAGTTGCTATAGGATCCAAGCATGTGATATCTCTTCCATTTTCATCCATGGCGTAGTTTTAATGTTCAATCACTTGCAGAGGTTCAGTCTTCTGCCTGAAGGAAAGCTAGCCAGCAACGTCCTGAAGCTAGGTGCACCTGACCTAACACACGCCCTTAACGGACCCTCTTCGCGGTTCCCATTGGAAGGTACCATTTCTTAAAGAGGGGTGATAGAGATATTTTATATGTTGCAAATATTAGGAATATTAATAACTGATGCGGTCATAGGTAACATTTCAAACATCTGTTTCTAGATGCACATCATTCCACAAGTTATTCCCAGGCATTATTATGACGTGTATATATATATATAGGAAGACGACTCACCGGCCTCCCCCATACAGCTAGAGAATGTGATAAACCCACTTCATTAGTTATTTTCCCCAACGTGTACATGGCCTGCTGCAGAAACGTTTTAATATCGTTAACTTTTGGAAGATTTCACGATGCTTTGGCGGTGCGTTATCTGCTGCGTTTTTATAACTTTTTCACTGAAATTATTATTGAGCCATATTAATCGACTGCACAGTCGCAGCTCTGACTTCAGGTTGCTCTGTGGCATTGATGGATGCACTGAGGAATATAGAGTGTACAACTCATTCTACCATCATGTAAAGAGAAGACACTTTCAACATCTTCTTGAAGACACCAGACCTGGCGACGCCACACGTGGAGATGAAAACCGACAGGAGGAAACCCAAGGACCGCAGCAAAAAGTAAGTAACGTCTGCTAATTCAGCTAAGATTGTTAGCTACAGTGTTTGGGCCACGTGGCCACTCGGATACAGGGTTAGTTTCGTACATTTTGTGATGCTACAGATAGCGTTAGCCAATACTGATCAGCCACATTTAGTTATTATAAATCCATTAGCATTAACTAATGAATCTGCTAGGCTACAAGCAGGCGGCATCTGTCAACCATATATTTTTAATTCAGCAGTTAGCTATGTAGTGTTTTTGTGGGGATGAAAAAACCGTTAAAAATATGCATTACGTTGGTGTTCGGCCACAGTTACTAAAACAGTAAATCACAAAAATTATGGTTTTCCACTTTTTCACTCTGCAATATCCTGCAAGGTGCATGCATCACTGTCAGGATCTGCACATGATTTGTTGAATTCACAGTTTTAGCAAATCAGAAATAAATCTCAAATTCTTTACCCACTATTAAACTTAAAACAAAAATAAATAGATTTTCAGATTTGATTAGAAAAAAAAGTTTCATGGTTTTGTTTTCTGGACTGAAAAAATGTAATAAAGAGTGTTACCCAGACAATGGATAAAGTGCTACGGCTTACAGTTAATAACTGTTGCTGAAATAACTCTTACCCCCAAAGTTTGTTTAATGTGAAAATAATCTTAGATAGAAAGGAATTACATATTTAAATTGCTCTTTTAGTGAAGCTAATTTTTTACAATTTCAAACAATCTTGTTTCTTTGATATGTTGTACACAGGACAACATTCAACCCGATCAGCTTCCAGCCGACTCCAGCAGCAAGGATCAGAACCTTCACACACCTGACTCAGTTGAAGAGCAAATGGGCATCGACCAAGATGGAGCTGTCACAGTGCACCAAGTATGTTTTCTTTGTTGTTGACTATCTACTGAAAATTAAGGGCTGCTAAATAAAGGTCAGGCCGATATAGTAGTGGCTAATATTGGCCTAGCATATCATTTATATATCAATATTATGTTGAAATATTTCATTTAAATTCACCAAATGATTCATAAAACCTAGAGGTATATGTGAAGATGTATTTCTATGTGCTGTACTAGCAAAACTAAATGAACACATAAAGAGTTAGAATGGCTTATTGTCTTGTTGGAGTACTAATGTTTGATATGTTTTGGTCAGAGTTACAAAATATTAAATTATCTATCTTTGCTCACCACATGTCACCAGTTTTTTATCATCAGATGTGCATACATTTAAAGATTATATATTTCTGTCACATTGAGTAATGTTATACCTGCAAATGTCAAGTTACTACATTTTGTATTGTAGGATCTGACAACACATGCCACTGCCTTTGTTATCAATGCCCGATCCAAGCATCGTCTGTCACAGGTAAAATGCTTCCAATGTAACCTTTTTGGACTAAAAGCATTATGCCATGTGTGATCTGCTTCTCAGAACATATTAACAGGAAATATTTTGTGTGCGACAAAGAAATGCAAATGAGCATTTATTATCCAGAAATTCAAGCCATTCACTCTGACTAACCCAGTAAGGGATTTCCCATATTTTATTACAATTTATAACCAGACACAGTGTAGCCATATATTAAGTTAGACCTAGTTGTTCTTTGAGAACAGAGCACAGTATTTGGCTACCTACTGTACACAGTTAGCAGTTAATAGTGGTTCACTGATGGCCGAGTTCAGTTTTAGTGCTTTGTTATCCACTTTACTGTTGTGTCTATGTCATAAGCAAAACTGTATATCACATAAAGCTACAGTGATCATGATAATGTTTACCAACATCAAAGATTGATCACATCACTTTCAATCTCTCATTTTCAGAAAGGCATGAATGACATTGTTGCTGGGGTACAGCAGTATCAATCATCACTATTGGACAACCTCAGGACGCAGATGAAGGAAGTTCTAAAGAAGAATTCAGGAAGTACAACCAATCAACTTGGAAAAGATGCAATGGATATATTTGACAGTTTCATTGACCCCTTTGCTAACGTTTCAACAACATTTCGCCAGAACAGTGTTATTAGGAAGCAGTTTTGTTGTGTGGATGCAGAGGAAATTCCAATTGCTCGAACCATATGCAGGAAGAAACGTGGAGGATCAACAGATTTTGTCATCAAAGACAAATTATTTTATTATGTACCATTAGTCAAAAGTGTAGAGCAGTTCCTATTACATCCGAGGATTTTGACTATGATTGAAGAGGTACCCCAGAGGTGCAGTGAAGGTTTTCTTCATGACCTTGTTGATGGTTCTCTTTTAAAATCTCATCCCTTATTTTCAGAGAAACCAAATGCACTGCAGATCATTCTGTATACAGACGAAATAGAGATCTGTAATCCACTAGGATCCTTTTCATCAAAGAACAAGTTGTTAATGGTGTACTACACCCTAGGAAATATAAATCCAAAATACAGGTCTAAGCTGGCTGCTATTAGGCTACTTGCGATGGCTAAATCAGCAGACCTCCGTCAATCTGGTGTAGATGTAATATTGAATAGAATAAAGGAAGACATGGATGCATTGTACAGTGGTGTTAAAATTCAAACTATTAACGGGGAGAAAACAATACATGGTGCTATGGTTTCTCTCTGTGGTGACACCCTGGCACAGCATGAACTCGCAGGGTTCAAAGAAGGAGTGGGCTTTGCTTACAGTAAGTGCAGACACTGTGAGTGTTCTTTTGAGGACATGCAGTCACAATTCAACGAGGATGCATATATTAAAAGAACATTGGAGAATCATGTCAGACAGTGTGATGAAATAGAAAAGGCTAACACAGACTTGCTTCGCAACAGCCTTAGAACAACATATGGGATCAATCGAAGGAGCAAGTTAGTTGACTTCCCATCCTTTGATATTATTCGGCAAACCCCGCAAGACATTATGCATGTCATTCTTGAGGGTATAGCTCCTCTGGAAATTAAATGTGTTTTGAATCATCTTGTTCAGTCAGGAGAGTTCAATCTGGACTCTGTGAATTCAGCTATTCTTGGTTTCCCTTATTCGCCTCTAGATCTTAGAGATCGACCTTCCCCAATTTCTCCGAGTACACTGATGTCAACTGATGGTAAACTAAGGCAGTCATCAGGGCAAATGCTTGTCCTGTTGAGGATATTGCCATTTGTTTTGGAACATTTGAAAGTCAATGCATATGTGCAGTTGATAATGGACTTAATAGAGATTGTTCAAATAGTGTTTGCACCTGTTCTTACCATTGCAACTGTGTCAAGGTTAAAGTTACTGATTGAAAGTCATTTGAAGCATTGGAAGGAGCTTTTTCCAGACCACAATGTTACACCTAAGCAGCATTACATGATACATTTGCCATCACAGATAGAATCATTGGGTCCCATGGTCAGACATATGTGTATGCGGTTCGAGTCTAAGCATTGTTTATTTAAGCAATGGGCCTCCAAGCTCAATTTTAAAAATGTATGCAAGTCTTTGATTAATCAGAACCAAATATATGAAAGCTGCCAAAATGTTGACCCTTCCAAGCACCCAATTTTTTCAAATGAAAAGGAGATGGGTCCTGTATCTGAGGTTAGAGATCTACAATATTTACATGGGAAATTGAGGGACTTCCTAGGTTTCAGTGAAATTAACCACGCTGTATCAGTGAAATGGCTTGTGATAAATGGTAATAAATACATTACTGAGAAGTCCTTGATCCTTGCCAATGTACTAAATGGTAATACACCCGAATTTGGACTTGTCAAAAGCATATTTCTTGTTGATTCTAAGCTTTATTGTTTGGAATATCAGCCTTTTCAGTCCATATGCTTTGATAGAAATGTTATGGCTTATCAAGTTGAGGTCCCACACCTTGCACAGGCCACTGAGTTAGTGGATGCTGAAAAGCTGGTTGATTTGACCTCTTATTACACAATCAGCAGAAAGGGCCAAACCTATGTACAAGTGAAATACTATCTTGGGGATGTAATGGAATTACACAACAGTTCAAATGACTCATAGCGTGTTCCTTTGATATGATGTTGAAACATTTAAAGCAAACTTAGCAGGTTTAAATGTAGGACTAAGGTCCTGACTTAGGATATGTTATTAGCAGATTCAAATGTTAGCTGTTTGGATTCCAGATGCGTTTTGCATTATAGTTTGCAGTGTACCTAAATAATCTGTATCTTTGTATAATACTGGGTCTTTCTTTCAGGTTGTTTTAAATGTTAATTACATAACATGTTATCAGCCATTTAGGTGTTTATCACAATGCTGTTTATGTTTGCTAAATGCCCTTGTCCTGAATAATGTAACCTACTTTAACTTTTCAAATGAGATGTTTGCACATATTGCTCAATCACTTTAGCTTGCTGAAGAATAATACATGCTGAAAAGAATGTTCTTAATGCAGTAGTTTGACTTGGCTGGTGCTGTTATTTCTGTATACTGCATTTCATATATGGACATACTTAATTGATGTACTGGGTTTTAGAGCGACAATAAAACAATGAATTTCATTTGGTCCTTATCTGTTTTTAATATGTTAAGAGATGAAAAAGGATAGGATGCTTGCAATAAGATATTCTGACTTTGAAAAAAGCAGTTTTCTACTTATCAGTGTTGATCTAATATCTTTAGAATTATGGTATTTCTCAATTTAAACATTAATTTACTCAGAATCAGTATTAAAATCTCAAAAACAAGTAATAAAACCTCATTAAGATAATGAAGTAAAAAAACACTTAATGGAAGTGAAATTCACTACAGCAAAAACTTCTTTGTAAGAGGAAATATCTTGGCAGACAAAATATAAGCATATTTTGTCTTGATTTAAGATATTTCATCTTAGTAAGATTTCAGTTTTTGCAGTGCACTACCTGGTTTTCAAACAGTGACCAAATCCGATGGATAGAGCCATTTGAACAGTACAGAAAACACAATGTACTGTGGTAAGGCTGGTGAAAAATGATAGGAAAAACCTGTGAAGCATCCATAGAGATAAAGCCTGATGTCTTATTTTAATTTACATACATTGTCAATTAATTGACCAAAGAGATGTAGGCAAAGGGAGTAACTACCTTTACATCATCATCATTAATACATCTTGCAAAAAAGTGAAAGGATAAGAATGTCAACATATTCAACTCTTTTGACATCAACAGAGAAAAGGCAGCAGACCATGGTTTTCATTCAGTCACTGCTAAAAGATGATGATTTTCTGTGACATCCTTTTAATTTGAAACATAAATGACTCGTTTTACTGTGTTTACAGCTTCTGTGGATTGGAGTATAAAAGTCAAAGCATAAACGAGTAAATTAAAGGCCCTTTTGTGTTTTTCAAATAAATTATGGCTGGCTTGAAGATGTGAGGATAATGAGGATTCCAAGCAAAGCCACTCTGGATAAAACTAATTTAAAATGTATTCAGAGCCCTGACTCCACTTCATTATTGGCCTAGGGACACAAAGCAGAGAGCTGCTCAGTTATTATGACCACACATTAGTCTCATTCTCATACCGAGACAGTATGTGGCTCCAGTAACGACTAAAGCCCAGGAATTAGCTCTGTCATATGCAGAGGATTGTGTCAGTGTTTGGTGGACTTTCATCTCTGTCCTAGTGCACCCCCTGTCATCCTCTAATCAGTTTGCCTCTGACCCTTTAAGGCTAACAAAACAAAACTTGTTCCTCAGTCATGGCTGGCAAAAAAGGCCTTTAACTGACCTTTTGGTCCGAGACAGAGGTGCAATACAAGGTGGGCAATACGTAAAGTAGGTTAGCTTTAGTATAAACATATATGTTGTATATTTGTGAAAACATCTGCAACCATTGACACCTTTAGAGGCCCTAAATCAATTCCGCTAAAATGCCATTAAGAACTACCAATAAATAGCATGACCAACAGGATGAGGTCAAGCGATCTTGTTCTATTGTACATTTACGTAACAGGGTTTAAATCTCCAATAGCATTCTTCATCTCATTGATTACACCAAGTGCCGTAAGCGTTATTTTGGGATCCATGTTAATCCTCAAGATTAAACAACAAATAACATTGTTTGTCTATGCTCTGTAGAGGGACAGATAAAATCATTTTCTGACTTCTCATCCTTATTGGCAAGAAAGCATTATTTAGCTGCTCCCTCGAAAACAAAATAATTTAAAAAATATTCATGATGTAACAACGCTGTGGCTAAGGTTTAGTTTAGGGAAACAGGGTGATGAAGTTAAAATACCCATGTCATGCTTTTCCGGTTATTACCCGTCCCCTTGTGTGTTATGAAGGTTTGTATGCATGTAAACGGTCTGCAAAGTCACAAACCCTCAAAGTACACCCTGTAGCGAGTAAAACTCTAACACAGAAAAGACCTGTCGTGCCCGTACAGTGACGTGCCCATATCCAAATGGACCAATCCGTGGAGCCGTTAAGTTGCGTCCGCAGAGCCGTTAGGTTAAGTCTGTGGATTGGTCCAATCCGCGGACGTCCTCACACACACACACACACACACACACACACACACACACACACACACACACACACACACACACACACACACACACACACACACACACACACACACACACACACACACACACACACACACACACACACACACACACACACACACACACACACACACACACACACACACACACACCACACACACACACACACACACACACACACACACACACACACACACACACACACACAATCTTTTCTCAGCTGCAGCTCTGCTGATTTCTCCTCCCTGAGACGGCGGGACGCGCCGAGTCTGTGAGTTTGTGTATGAGCACACACACTGACTCACAGCCAGGCTGCAGGTGTGTGTGTGTGTGTGTGTGTGTGTGTGTGTGTGTGTGTGTGTGTGTGTGTGTGTGTGTGTGTGTGTGTGTGTTCGGGCTAGGTTTCGCTGTGTCTTGCTGTCTCGCAGACGGCCACTGGGCTCACAGGGAGGGGGGGGGCAGGAGCTCCAATAAGCCATTTAGGACAGAGAGTGAATACACATACTTTACAGCAGTGTTTCTCAAACTTTTTCATACCAAGGACCACTTAACCAATAAAAAAACACTCGCGGACCACCTAACTCCACAAATATCCAAAAACACATCGTTTTTTACAAATCGCCTGAAAATGATACAAACAAGTGGCCACATGTGTGATGAAGGTATTTATCTGGGCTATATCATGCAATCGAAAGTGAAACTTAAGCTCGTTCCATTGCGAAGATATTCCCGCCAGAGTGCGAAAAACTTTTATTTATTTATTTATTTCAAATGTGAAATGTTACCAATATACTCACGGACCACTAGGGGGCGCTCACGGACCACCAGTGGTCCGCGGACCACACTTTGAGAAGCACTGCTTTACAGAGATGCTGTATGAGAAACCAATGTGAGTTTGGAACATTGAACAATGGAAATCTATTCTAGTATACCTCAACAATGGAATTAGGATAAGTTGATACTGCAAAGCTTGTCGTCATGGTAACAATAACATCCACAAGGTTAAAGTTATGGAAAGATTGTGTTCTTTACAACATTGTCTGTCGGAAATGAAACTTGGGGCACCAAAGAACCTTACTTACTGTACAGCTTTGCTTCGTTCAGTACTGCAACGGACACTAAAGGGCTGTGTGACTTGGACACATGTTTCTCATTCTGGGGAACTGGCTGATTCGGTTGTTTTGGCAGGACAGTCTCTTAATAGCAACTGAAGTTATGTTACAGCCAATGCTAAAATGGCGCAGACAGAAAAAGCAGTTTATCTCTAACATGAAGTACTCACTGGGGATATGATAGACATAAACTAGACAGGAGAAAGCAGGGGTGGTGGAAAGAGAAAGTAGTAGCAGCACAGTTACTGTAGTCAGGAACAGTTTGTGGCAGGTACAGGAGAACCATTTGGCAGGTTTAGGAGAACGAGTTGTTCACAGTTTAAGGTGACAGCTTTGCTAAAAAATAAAAAACATAACTGGCATTAATCAGGATCAGCCGTCAGTTAGCTTGTGTAGAGCACATATTGACTTAAATGTTGTGTTTGACACATACGTTGCGGTCGAATATTCCAAAAATCAGCTCCTAACGTCTATCCCTATCGTCTATCCCTTGACCTCTGTGTGAAATGTCACGGGGTTAAGGGATAGTCGATAGGAGAATTCAAAAGGATTTAGGAGAAGAGACTGCGGTACTTTAGAGAATCCGACTGCACTTTCACTATCGGACGTGTTTATGATGCGCCAGCGGACGCCATAAATGTGCGTCCGTTTTCTAAATGTGGGGAAACTACAGTTTTCTATAGCGGACTACAACATGAATGTATAATAAGAACGAGGGACTACTGTAAACTAATCTAGAGACTCTGCACCGTGCTCTGATGCTGTTGCTCTATGCGTTATGAACGTGGACAACAGAGAAACATATTCTTCATGACCAAAGTTGGAATTGAAATAAAAAAGGAAAGTTAAACTTATGCTCGTCACCCTCTCCCTCCGGTCCACATTAATACAAATGATCCCAATACGTATGATTGTATGAACTATGAAAAGATCTTAAAATAAATACAAATGTATTATAAACGTTAGTCCTTAACATCTATCACTGTGTATATCACCATTCAAACATCTTTTAAAAGTTGAACAAACTCTCGGTCATAATCGGTTGTTTCCGTGAACAGCCGAATGTTGTGTGACGGCAAATGCTGCGGCTGCAAGGCATTGTGGGGCAGCATTTTCTCTCTCCTTTCATAAAGGGAGGTCCAGTGGTTCCTAAGCTAAAGGAGGTTATAAAGGAAGTTTGAAACCTCCTTTCCTATCATGTAGAGCAGGGGTGGGCAAATGGCGGCCCCCACCTTCTCTTTTTGCGGCCCTCAGATTAATTTATAAACAACGTAATTAATTTTAAAAAAAGTACTTGTAGTACTGATACCGTCCACTAGACTCCTAGTTACGTTGCGATCTGCGTACATGATTTTGTTCGGCAGCCAAATAGCACGAAATAATCTGTGACGCGTTTCCCGGGGAAACACATGACTTCATGTGTGTGTCATCTTAATGGTTAATCGTAATGCACACACATTTTCTGTGCTTTCCAATAGTTTAAAATAGTTGTATTCCACTGTTAAATAACCTGTTCAATACAAACATGCCACTTGTAAAAATTAAATAACATTTCTGTGAACTGATATTTGTTTAGTGAGCTTATTAGAGAATGTTCCCTGAAAGATTGTAAAATGTCAATGAAGATGTCAAACATAGTATATTTGTTAATAATTACAATACATGGAATTTGTGTGTGTGTGTGTGTTCCAAGTGAATCTGCGGCCCCCTGGTGGCCAGTACATAAATTATGTAGCCCCCACCACCATCCAAGTTGCCCATCCCTGATCTAGAGAATTCGAACGGCACTTGTCATGGCTGCCACCGAGGTACTTCCGGGTAATTTCACTCCGTTAGGAAGGTTCCTAAGCTAAATGGACTATTCGACTGCAATCATAGACTGTATATATAAAGGTTTGACA